CAAAGGAGATGAGAGCTCACTGTGCCTTGCCCCGATGTGAACTGGCTTGGAGCATGTTGGTTCTCTCAGGTGACATTGGTGGGTGAGCCACAGCATTGGGGCCCTCTGTGACTGGAGGTGTCTGGGGAAGGGCTGGCAGCGAGGACTCACCACTGTAGAGGATGGCAGGGGCCAAGGCCTGGGGGCTGGACTGTGCCTTGCACATGCAAGCATAATAATTAGTATTGGTCATGCCTCAGAGGGACTTAGGAGAAGGTGTGGAGGCCCTCTCAGAGGCTGAAGAACAGATCCGCAGTAAGGCATAGAGGCCCAGGGTGCAGGAGAACAGCCTGAGGCAGAGGTATGGGCAGGAAGGGAGATGGCAGTCCCAAGAGAGATGGAAACAGCAATTAATGTTGGTTGAGGAGTGGCCTCCTAGGAGCCACCTGGTCCAAGGGTCATGACCACCCCATGATACAGCGATTCATCCTCCATTTGATAGAGAAGGAAGCTGAGGCTCAGGGAGGTTAGGGCACTTGCTGGGGCTCTCAGAGTGATGGAATGGAGGTCCATTAGAAGCCATAGGGCTCTCTCAGGACACTGTGGGCAGCCCCCAGCCACTACCACACTGGTCCCCAGCTACTGCCTGGAGTCAGGCACTCTCAGGTTCAAATGCCTGGGGTAAATGCTCAGGTTCCTAGGGGAGGGGCTTGGTCCCTGGTGCCCTACGCACCCCAGCTTCACATCACCCAGGCCTGGCCGGCATCCTCAGGCCCTGGCCCATGCTACCCACAGCCACGTGGCTGACGGGATTTCCGCCATGTTTGGGGCATGAATTGACAAGTGTCCCATTGACGGGGCAGGGGAGGGGGTGGGCAGGGCACAAGCCTCCCACTGTGCCGGGTCCCCACCCTCCCCCATCCTCCAGGACAATGGCCGAGACTCAGCCAGCGGCCACAGCTGGTGGGGCAGTGAGCACGAGGAGGGTTGGAGGGAGGGGTCCAGGGTGGAGGAACCACCTGGGCCCCCACCCGCTCCCATCCTGCACCTGGCTTGGGCACCCTCAGCCCCTTTCCTGCCCAGCTGAGTGGCCTTAAAGGGATGAAGAGAGAGAAGGGGATGGGGCTACCTCCCCGTAGCTGAGATCCCAGCCTGCCCGGGGAAAGACAGTGTCTGGCTCCTGTTTGAGGCAGGTAATAAAGGACGTAATTAATGAGGAGCGGCTGGGGTGAATAGCTCTGTGGGGCCAGAGCAGTATCTGGAGGGACCCTGTCTAGCCCAGGACCCCGACCTTGGCATGGCCTGACCAACATCCCCAGATCTCGCGGAGCTGGCTGTAGTCTCTTGCTTGCCACTGGCTCATTCATTCCATGAACATTTACTGGGTGCCTAGTGTGTGCTGGCATACTCATATCCTAGAGAGGCAGAAGAGGGTAGCACTCCAAACCCAGTTCCTGCTCCTATAAGCTTCGGGCAAGGTGCTCATCCTTTCTGAGCTTCAGTTTCCTTATCTGTGAAATGGAGAAAAAAATCACCTACCTTGTTGGGTTGGTATGAGAATTCAGCAGGAGCCATGTACAGTGCTAGTATGCAGCAGGTCACAGAGTGACCATTTGGTGAGCAAACATGGGTGTGGGTGGTTGGGGGACAGACAGGCACCCTGCTGGGAGCTCTGTGGAGACAGGAGAGTAAGAAGAAAGTAGGATGGGCCCATGAAGAGAGTCGGAGATGGCCCTGGGGAGAATTGACATTTAAGCCAGAACTGAAAGCCTGAATAGGAATTGGCTTTCTCTGGCCAGTGGAATGAAACTGCATGTGCAAAGGCCCTGGTGTGGGGTGGAGAGGCCTTGGCCTGCAAGCAGTGGCAAATTGTTGAAGGGTTTGAAGAAGGAGAGAAAAGAGATGCTGGTTTGTAACCTCATGGTGCCATTTCCTGGTTGCTGCGTCGTGGGCAGCCTCTGGCGGGCCCTGCCTGACCTTCTCTCAGGGAGGTCTTAAGGATCAGAATGAGGCATGTGTCTCTTGCTTGGCTTCCTGCCTATCATGTCCCCTTTGTTGGAATCCAATGATGTTCTAGGGCTTTTTTGTGAGTGGAGCAGTAGGGGCCCAAGGGACCCTGCCTCCATCCTGGGTTCCTGGGGGCTCTGCTCCAGCCTCAGGAGTCCCTGGACTCTGGAACATTTTCCAGGAGTCTCTAGTGTGGTTGGCTGAGCAGGCCGGGGCCTCTGCCCGGCGGCTGGACCCTATAGGTTGGGTAGCATGGGGAGAAGCCAAGGCAGGCCACCAGGGCTTCCAGGGAGAAGAGGTGTGGGGTCAGCGTGCCTCAGGAGGCCCTTTAAGCCCCCAACCCTCAAAGTTTCCCCCCACCCATTGGCCCACCCTCTCCTTGCCCCATCAGCTCCCTCCTCTATCCTCCGTCCGCCCGGCCCCTGGCACGGGAGGGTCCCTCCTCCCCCCAACCACATCTGGTTCTCGTTAGGGTCTCCCAGGATGCCTGTGCCTGAGGCCCCCATCCTGGGGGAGGTGGGCAGGAGGATTAGGTGTGATTAGGAGTGCTTCTGGCTGGTAGAGAGGAGGAGGAGGAGGAAAAGAAGAGGGGGTTGGGCCTGTTATAAATAGCAACACCATGACTGCATCAGCCCATCACTCATTGTAGATTTCAAGTTCAGTCTTAGAAACTTGGAGCTTCAGGCGCCAGGGTGGGGGTGATGCTTCAGTATCCCCTCCCTCCCGATCCCAGAGCTTGATCCTCCTTCAGAAATTTTCCAGCACCTCAGGTGGGACAGCCTAGGTGGGCAAGGGATAGGCAGCCACCAGCAGCATCTTAGAGCCAGGCCTGTGCACCTGGGTTTGAGTCCTTGCTGTGTTGCTTCAGGCAAGAGACTTGACTGCTCTGAACAGTGAGGATGATGATAATGACACCAAGTTCACAGGATGAAAAGCACTTAGAATAGGACCACACCTGGTAGATAATCAATTGGTATGAGCCCTGGTTGCTGTCATTACCATTATGGGTTGAAAAGCGCTGGCAGGCACCCTATATGAGCCCTACCATCACTCTCACTGTCATAGTTACCATCATGGGATGGTAGGATTAAGTGACATACTGCATATGAAGAGCCTGCAGGATGCTTTGCATATGATAAACTCCTGTGACAATTAACATACACTTGGCTCAAAGATACATGGCACACGTAGGTGCTCAATAAATGGGAACTGTGGTTACTAGAAACTGTGATTGCCAGGATGGGAAAGGGGCCAGAGCAGAGGTGGGAATCCTGGAATCTTGGCTTGCAGGCTGGGTGCTTTGAAAAGCTTCTCTTGCCCTGGCCACACGAGGCCCTGGATGGCCACTGGTGGTGCTTGATGGGTGTCCCTAGTCCCCAGCTGGTGAACTGGGGGTGGGCGGCAGCAGGAGGGCCCTGGCCTGTCGCAGCCAGCGCGTGACTCCTTGGAGGGCTTAGCCGCTCATTAATCACCTAAGCGGGGCTCAGCATTCTTGAAATGCCGGCTGGGGCCAGGGAGGGGCCTGGGCAGGGGGCTCTCAGGGACCCCAGGGCTCTGGGGGCTGGGAAGTGAGGACAGCTGCTCCATTTGGTGAGCCCCCATTGTGTGGCAGGCACTTTTCAGACCTTATCTTGGTACATGCTCACCACAGCCCTGAGAAGTGTGAGCTGTTCATGTCCCCATTTTACTAAGAAGACTGAGGCTCAGAGAGGGTTTATGACCTTCCCAAGGCCACACAGCAGGGAGTGGCTGAGCCAGAATTTGTTCCTGGACCTGAGCTCCATTCCAAGTCACAAGAGGGAAGGGGTATGGCTTGGGACCCATAGCATGGTGTTATGGCACCAGCTACATACACTGAGAGTGGCAGGTTCAAACCCAGCTCTGGCCAGCTAAGCAACAGTGACAACTGCAACAACAAAGAAATAGTTGGGCCTTGTGGTGGGCGCCTGTGGTCTGAACTACTTGGGAGGCTGAGGCAAGATAATTGCTTGGGCCCAAGAGTTTGAGGTTGCTGTGAGCTGGGCACATAGTGGGACTCTGTCTCAAAAAAAAAAAAAAAGGGAAGGGATATGAGACCCTAGACTCCAGAGGTCTGTGGGAGGGGCCCTCCTGCCTCAGTGGGGCTGGCCAGCCCAGGTCAGTGTGGGTGGGGTTGTCCTCCATTATCAGGGTTGACGCATCTCTCACGTCAGCCCCCTTATCACCCCGCCCTCTGGCTCCCCCCACAAGGTGACCCTGGGAGGGGAAAGGCCAGCGCCTCCCCCTCCTCTCCTTATAGTGCTTTAGAGTACTGGGCCACCCTTTTCCTGTGAGTCCCTCCCCTTCGTGGGGCTGTGGCCAGTGGGAGGGCCCAACAGAGGGCAGGCAGGCAGAAGAACAGGGCTCTGATGGCATCGTTCCCTGCTGTAAGGCCAATGCCAGCCCTTGCTTCTCTGGGCTTCTGCCTCTTCTGGAAGATGGGGGCTAGGCTGAGCCCTCCTGATCCTGTTCCCACTTCCCCATGCAGCTTGGGTCCTCCTCCCCATGGGCCCCTTGGATGTGGGGTCCCACCCAGCCAGGCCTTGTGCTCCCAGGTGCCTGGAGCTGGGCCATCTAGAACTAACCACAGGAGGATGAGGCTAGACAGTCTGCTGGGTGTGAGCCATCAAGGCTGGTAGGCACCCACTGGGCACTCCACTCCATAAAGCACCTTGTTTGCTCCTCACAGCACCTCAGATGTGGGGGAGGGGCTTGCATAGCTAGAAAAGGGTATAGAGGGGCAGGATCAGCCTATTGGTCCCTAGAGCCACACTCTGGGCCTCTCCCCTCCTTGGAGATTCAAGGTGGCCTTGTAGACTCCTGGAGTAGCATCAGGTGGTGGAGGGTGGAGGTCCCACCACTACATGGATACCCAGATGGGGAGGAGCATATGTCTTAGAGGGCAGGGGATGGGCAGGGATGGAGGGCTGTACCCACAGGCCTAGGGTCTGCAGGGAGCCAGACCTCTCCCTTGGCTTACCTTCCCCATCCCACAGGCCATGACATCAACGGTGCCCTGGAGCCCTCCAACATTGACACCAGCATTCTGGAGGAGTACATCAGCAAGGAGGATGCCTCCGACCTGTGAGCTGCCCCCAGGCTGCCCCCGCCCCTCTGGCCTCCATCCCTCAACTGGGAAATAACCAAGGCAGGGCCCAGGGCCTGGCTGGGGCTGAGCTTCCTCCTCTGTCCACAGCTGCTTCCCTGATATCTCTGCACCTTCCAATGCGGCCTCCTACTCCCACGGGCAGCCAGCAATTCCCGGTTCCAGTGGGGTCCACCACCTGAGCCCCCCCGGGGGTGGACCCTCCCCTGGACGCCATGGTCCCCTCCCACCCCCGAACTACGGCACCCCGCTCAACTGCAACAACAACAACGGCTTGGGTGCCACTCCTAAGCCCTTCCTGACAGGCTATGCACCCCCCATCAAAGCAGAACCTAAAGCTCCCTATGCCCCAGGGTGAGTGAAGGTAGGGAGAGGGGTATGTGGAAGCCCAGGACAGGCAGGGTGGGGGGCCATGCATGGCCTGCATGGTGCTGCCCTCCAGCCGGGCAGTTAGAAGGGCCAGGGTGACTGGCTCCCCATGGATAGATAAGGGTAGGGGAGGAGGGACTCACAAGCTTTGCTCTGGGGCAGTGGGCAGCCACCAGGGTTCTCAGCAGGAGGGTGATGAGGGCTGATATAAGTACTAGAAGAATCTCTGAGAGCTGTGTGGATGGGAAGGGGCAGGACTGCAGGCTGTGACTGTTTGCTTTTATGGAACACCTCCACATGCATGTGCACGTGCAGGGCACCCAGACACCCTTCACTGTGGTGGCTGCCACTCACTGAAGCATCTAGCTGATAAGTTCCCTTACCCATGCAAGCCCTGTGGAGCCGAGGATGCATCTAGACCAGGCCTCCCCTCCCCATCTGAAGAGTCCACACTCGTGGCCTGAACCAGGGCAGCCCTAGGGCTCAGGCATATGGGAAAGGCAGGGAGCATGGGTCAGCTGGGCTCTGCAGAGGGGGCCCTGTCTCTGGGTGGAGGAATGATAAAGTGCTTGGTGCAGAAAGCCTGGCTGCAGCCCCAGCTCCAGCATCTTCCAGGGAACCTACAGCCTCCATCAGGGCCTCTGTTTCTTCACCTGTAAAGTGAACCCTCAATGCTTGCCCTTGATGATTATCATGGGAAGTGGGAGTTACGTACAGAGGGAGTACCGGGTAGATGGGAGCATGTCCTGTACTCCCTGGCTTACAGGATATGGTAGTGGAGGCCAGGCCTATGGTGCCCAGGATGAACTTTGATGAAGAAGACAGATGTCTGCTTGAGGCCATGAAATTGTGCCTAAGCCACAGACCCTTGAGGTGCCTCCTGAGTGCGTGCCTCTGTACCCACATGCCTGCTTGTGTGTACTCAGCCTTCTCTGGGAACCAGTGCCTGGGAGTTCAGTCATGATTGCTCCTCAGAAGGATTCTGGGGATGCACAGGGGCTCAGAGAGGGGAAGGACCTAGGGCCAGGCCAAGGTGTAGGTGATAACAAGATGGACACAGCTCCTGCAGCTAATCAGTAACTTACTAAGTGAGAATAATGAGAAGTGAGAGGAATGTATGAGGAAGAAACAAGGTCCTATGGACTTGGAGCATCTGATTGCAGGGATGGGGGATGTGGAAGACCTTGACATATGGAGAAACCCAAGACCATTGTCAAGAAAGTGCAGGGAAGGGGCAGGAGGTGTGTAGGTTTGAGTCCCCATTTTTGTATCATCCTCACAAAACCTGCAAGGTCCATATTCTTGAATCTCCTTTGTAGGTCTGTATAGAAGGCCTCAAAGGTGGGTAGGTGGCTTGTCCAGCATACGCTGGGATTCTGGAACCAGACTAGGGCTGTGACTGTGACAGTGCGGTGGCCTTTCTGACAGCTCCCTGGAGAGGGAGTGGAGAGCCTCTCCAGACATGGGGACCAGGGATGGCCACAGAGCTAGACCCTACATTGTTCCAGTTGCCCCTTGCTGGCAAGCACAGGGCTCACGCAGGACATACTGACCTCTTGGGTTGAGTTTGTCTTTTTCCTGAACCACTGATAAAATATAACCTGCAAGAAAAAAATAAACCCAGGCCCAGCAGCGCTGGCTCCCTGCCCAGTCCACACCTGCCTCTAGCAGGGCAGCCCCCCAGTGACCCACTGACTCTCCCAGGCCCAGTCCCCTAGGGCCTCACATTTCCAGGAAGCCCAGGAGGGCACACGAGGAGAGGAGCAGGCCCAGTACCTTAGTCAGGGGCAGGAGTCCTTAAATCCTTGTGCCATCATGAGGGACACTAGTAACTAGCTCCCAAGTGTCCAGTAGGTCTGAGGGAGTCCTGGGCAGGACCTGGAGACCCCCACCCTCAACTCAGCCCCAGACCCCTGCCAGGTACCCCCAGGTGGGTGGTACAGAGAACTGTCACCATGATGGGTATGAGGAGACCCTGTCATGCAAAGGAGCTGCCTGGCTGCCAGGCAGGGCCCAGTTGCTCACCACCAGCCCCCCTTGGCTCTGCAGCACACTGCCAGACTCGCCCCCAGACTCAGGCTCCGAGGCCTACTCCCCCCAGCAGGTGAATGGTGAGTCCAGAGGGCACTGCCCTCCCCCTCTGGGGTATGGGCAAGTGGTTGGGGCGGCCTTATCGGGGAGGGAGGGAGGGGGCCGGCAGCTGCCCAACGGGCTGAGATTATCGCTGGTCAAATACTCCCCGGCGCTGTGGCTATTGTTTCCCCACTGGCGGGTGGGGAGCCTGGCCCTGCCTCTGAGCAAGTATCCCTGCCGGCTATGCCACCCGCCTGGCCGCCTGCGCCATCATGGACGCGCCCTTCAGCGGTAAGTGGACGGCTGGGGAAGGCCGTGGGTGCACAGGCCTGAGCACAGGCCTGGCAGAGGCCTGGCAGACGAGGCCCACCTCACCTCAAGGGTATGCTCAGGGGTGCAGCAGCCCCCAGGTGGCTAAGAGCAGAACCACCACTAGCAGCAGGCTCCCCACAGCCCAGAAAGGGGTCAAGAGTTCTGTTTATCTTACCAAAAACATCCCTGGAATGCCTCCCAGGGAACAAAGGGAGCACAGCCTCCCCTCTTCAGGGCTGGGGGGCTGGCCCCTGGAAGCCCAATAGAGGGGCTGCCCAAGGGAAGATTGTTGGTTGGAGACTGGGCCAGGGATCTCCAGAAACTCCTTCCTGAGGCCCAGAGGAAAATCAGGCACGCACGGGAGGAGTTGGGGAACTTGGGGGACCTTGACTCAGATCCCCTGGGGTGCTGGGCTGGGCCTTGCCTGGGAGAAGGAGCTGGCCAGGATGGGGTGAAGGGCTGCCCACCCTCTGGACTGAGTCAGGCCTCCCTGCTCAGGCCTTTAGTGGCTGGCTGCCCACCCCTCTCCAGCCTGGGCCAGCCAACAGACCCCTGGACTTGGCTCAGGAAAGGCTAGAAGCAGGAGACCCTGGTAGCGGAGGATGGTACCTGAGAACCTGAGTGAAGTCAGTCTCTGATGTCCACCCCCTATCTTCCTGCAGACCCCCACCTTCTTCGCACGATAACCCCTGAGACCCTGTGCCACGTGGGAGTGCCCTCCCGCCTGGAGCACCCGCCCCCACCTCCAGCTCACCTGCCAGGCCCCCCACCACCCCCGCCGCCCCCACCTCACTACCCTGTCCTGCAGCGGGACCTGTATATGAAGGCTGAGCCCCCAATCCCCCCCTATGCTGCCATGGGGCAGGGGCTGGTGCCCACCGATCTCCACCACACACAGCAGTCACAGATGCTGCACCAGCTGCTGCAGCAACACGGAGCTGAGTAAGACTTGGGCAGCCACCCCTCTATCCCCTGAGGGTAGGAACAGAGTTGGGGGGGTTGGTCAGGGCAGCGTCAGGCAGGCCTGGGATGGAGGTAGGAAAGGGGCTGGACCTGGGAAGGGCAGAAGGTTCCACAGGACAGGTCAAGGGTCAACATATTTATACTTCTGTGCCCAGCAGTACTGTGGGGGTGGTTCAGCTAGGGCTCATTGCTCACAAGTACTTTATTTGGTTGGCAGGTAGATAAACTGAGGTTCTCAGAGAGAACCCATCCAGATCATGATCTAGGCAGGGGCAGAACCAGGACTCTCTAGACATCTCACAGAATCCTCAGGTTTCTGAGGAGGTTCTGGGCCTGGATGCAAAGTCCCCACTTGGACTTCACCTGCATCTTCACCTTTTATCTGCTCTGTATATGGAGAATACATGAGAGATTTAGTTCAAGGGAAGATTCTGCTGTCAGAACATTTCATAAACCAGAAGAAGGGGTGATGCTGTACATGCCCCCCAAACTCCCTGCCTGGAACGCTATCCCTCCCTGGCTTAGTGGCCCAGCCCCTTGTAATTTGTTTCTAACGATGGAAGCTGCTCTCCATAGAGCCCCACTGTAAAGAGTGACACTGAGAGTGACTCTGAAGGAAGAGACCAACTAACTCATTGATTGCTTAATAACTCCTGAGCACCCTATGTGCCAGGCCCTTTGTATAGCATGATGGGGCCACACTGACAAGTCAGGTGTGTCTCCTGCTGGCCTGAACTCCATGGTCTAGGGGTGGGGAAGAATGATGGAACAAAGAATGACAACCCTGAGCCATGAGGGGAGGACAAGGGGGCAAAGCTCCAGGGCTTCCTGCAGGAGGTGTCCTCTGGGCTGGGTATATCCTGCCCATAGAGGGTAGAGAGGGGAAAGGGGTGGTGACTGTCCCATGGGAGGGCCTGAGGGAGGACCAGCCCCCATGGCACACTCCTTTGTCCACCTAGGCTCCCTACTCACCCCTCTAAGAAGAGGAAGCACTCTGAGTCACCCCCCAGCACTCTCAATGCCCAGATGCTGAATGGAATGATCAAACAGGAACCTGGGACCGTGACAGCCCTGCCCCCACACCCCTCTCGAGCCCCGTCCCCACCCTGGCCTCCCCAGGGCCCACTTTCACCGGGCCCTGGATCTTTGCCCCTCAGCATCGCCCGGGTCCAGACACCGCCTTGGCACCCACCAGGCGCGCCCTCCCCAGGTACATGGCAGGCCAACCCTTCTAGTTGGGGAGTGGGGCCCAGGGTCCAGGGCCCACATGGGTGTTCCCTCCCTCCAGGCCTCCTACAGGACAATGACAGCCTCAGTGGCTCCTACCTAGACCCCAACTATCAGTCCATCAAGTGGCAGCCGCATCAGCAGAACAAGTGGGCAACCCTGTATGATGCCAATTACAAGGAGCTGTGAGTGATCTCTGCACTGCCTGCTCCTCCTGACCCCTGATCCCATCTTGGGACACCCCAGCCCAGGGCCCCATCAGTGCCCCAAAGTAGGGCCTGGAAGCACACTGTGTATAAGATGGCTCCATGTTATGGGAGGGTAAAGAGGGAAGAGCTGGTCCTGTCCCTCAGGAGGCCTGACCTAGCTGGACCTGGCTCCCTGAGAAGGTGGTGCCTGCCTTCTGGGAACCAAGTCAGGGAGAAGTGGGCGGATGGGCGTTTCCTGGCCCCTCTTTCCCCCCCTCCTCCTGCATTCCAGGAAGGTAGCCGGAAGCTGAGTATGGGCAGGGAGGGGAGGGGCAGGACCAGGTCAGAGGCTGCCTGGGCATTCCTAGCTCTTCCTCGACACCCCCATGGTTTCAGCTTCCCAGGCCCCAGGTCAGGAGCCCTGTGGGGACCACTCCCCTTGTTCTCCCAGAAAGCCAGTGGGCAGGTGAGAGGAGACTCCCCTTATCCCACTGTGGACGTTTCAAGGCATGGGCTAGGTGGCTGGGACTCACCTCCTAAGAACAGTGGCTGAGACCAGCCTCCTGGAGTTGTACACCCTGGGCCTTGTGGGATTCTTAGCTAGAAGTCTCCAGGACTGGGGGTGGAGGTAGGGTCCCATGAGGTCCTGCCACGACCCCCCTGGCATAAGAACACACCTAATCTGCTCTCCATACTCCTTGGGGTACCCTGCGCTCCAGGCCCCAAGGCCAGGAAACTGACACCTGCAGCCCCCAGTGTGGCCCAGGCACTACTGAGGGCTTTGCTAGGTTAGGCAGGTGAGTAAAGCCCCAGGAGGGAAGAGGTGGTGAGTGCTGGCCTTCCTCAGATATTAGCCAGGTCTTTGGGAAGCATCTTCCCTGTCCAGCTTCCCCCAGGCGGGTGCCGGGTACTCCTGTGACCACACCTGTGCCTGGGGACCCAGCTGAGAGTGGGCTAAGCCAAGGGCCAGCAATTGCCCTCTTTACTGCCACCTAGAGGTCTCCCAAGGGGCTGGGCTTGGGACACTGTTCCCAGCAACAGATGGGCAAACTGAGGCTGAGTCTGGAGATGCCCTGGGCTTGAGCAAGCCGGTGGGCAGCAGTGGGGCCTGGAGCAGAGCTAGCTCCTGGTTTCACCGTTTCCAGGGCAACCAGCTGTCAGGCACTGTGAGGCTCTGCAGACATGGCCCCTCTCACCCCATCTCTCACGAGGGAGGGGGCTCCAGGCAGCCTTCTGGGAAGGAGCCAAGTGTGGTGAGGGGCTGTCAAAGCTCCTCCTTAGCAGTTCCCTCCCATCGGTCTGGCCTCAAGGCTCTTGCCCTGAGTCCCCCACCAGCAGGACAGGGCAGTGGCCCAAGGCAGGGAAGTAGAGGAAAGCAGTGGTTGAGGAGTTAGCAGATGTGTGCTTAAATCCTCTCAGGGACTCAGTTTCTACTTCTGAGAAGACGGGCCAGCCCTGTTGGTGCTGTGAGGATCTCGGGGTATGGGACAGAAGTTGCTTTGGAACCCAGGCAGGTGGGAAGAACCAATGTTCCAGGCTTGGCATGTGGGGCCTCAAGTGAGTGCCCTCACCTGCTTCCAGGCCTATGCTTACCTACCGTGTGGATGCCGACAAGGGGTTCAACTTTTCGGTGGGCGACGATGCCTTTGTGTGCCAGAAGAAGAACCACTTCCAGGTGACGGTGTACATCGGCATGCTGGGCGAGCCCAAGTACGTCAAGACTCCCGAAGGCCTCAAGCCCCTCGACTGCTTCTACCTGAAGCTGCATGGAGTGAAGGCAGGCCTGGGGCTTGGCAAGGAGGGGAGGGCAGGAGGGCTCGCAGCCTTGAAAGACCCCAAGGCAGAGTGTGAGTGTGTGTGTGTGGACACTGCTCATGGCTGAATCCAGCCCACCCTTTCTCCCCGTGCCTGCCTCTAGGCAATGGACCGCTTAGCCTTCTCTCTCCCTCTTGCTCCCTGTTTCGTGTTCTACCCTGTGACTCACCAAGTCTGCATCCCCAACTGAGACTCATCTCTTGATCTTTCTATCAGCTGTTTCAACTCTAGGTCCCCAAATAAACTCCCTATGAACTTGCCCCTGACTTTTGGGAGTAGGGCCCAGCATCTTGGTTACCTAAGCCATAACCCCCACCTCATCACACACTTCGGCCTATTGTTGCCCTGGAAGATCCCTCCAACTTATTGCCTTCATTCTTCCTCTGCCGTCTCCTGCCCGGGTCACCTGCCTCCTGGCTCAAGTGTCCACAACTGCTTCCATTTTGGCACCCAGCTCAGGCTCTGCCTGAGATGTAGGTGGCCATGGCACTCCCCATCCTTCCAAGGTCCCTGGCATCCTCCCAGCAGAACCCCACCTTCAAAGCTGAGCCCATAGGGCATTACGGATGCAGCCCTGCCATTTTCTGTGCCACAGCCCTCGCATGCCCACTCATAGCCTCTGTCTTCCCAATGCCCCACCCCTTCTCTCTTGGCTTCCTTCACAATGGCGTCTTCTCATGGACACCTGCCCTGGCCCATTGCAACTTAAAGGCCCCCACATACTTCACAACCACAGTAGTGGTTGATTTTGAGCCCATAAGCCCCTGGGGTTGTGGCCAGGTAGGCTTCATGTTGTGAGTGAGTTAGGCAGGTGCGTTGACATGGCTCTACCAGTGTGTGTGTGGAGCGGAGGGGATATGGGTGGTGGGGGTCCGGGGAGTGGGTGGCTTGGGTGTGCATGGAGGCTGGCATGAGGTGGAGGAGTGTGCGGGTGTGGTTTTTGGAGGTGCAGGTGCTTGGGGGTGATGCTTTTGCATTCCCATGCAGAAGTGGAGTGCTATGAACCGTGAGAAGGGAGCAGGTTGTGGGTGGGGGTGTGGGGTGTGCCATTATGTAGGAGGAGGGACCAGCTTTGTGGGAAGTGAGGCTGAGGGCAGGGTGCTGTTTGCTTCCTCTTGAGTTCTGGCTGGGCTGGGGCTGGGCTGAGAAGGTGAAGGGGGTGGTAAGGAGTCTGAGGTGCCATTGGCCCCCACACTTCCCCAGCTGGAGGCCCTAAACCAGTCGATCAACATCGAGCAGTCGCAGTCAGACCGAAGCAAGCGGCCCTTCAACCCTGTCACGTGAGTGTTTGACCCCGTGGGGGCTGTTACCTGGAAGGGCTAGTCAGGAGTCTCAGAGGCACCAGTGTCCTGCCCTCCCCGCCCCTGGTCCCAGACAAATGCTCAGTACACAGACCGTCATCTCACTCCATCCCACAGAGGAGGAACCCGACTCTCCACTAGGGGGCAGAAAAGCCTCAGGGCCCACAGCTAGGAAGCCACAGAGCTGTTTCGTAACCTTCCCCTTAAGTCAATTGAGGGCTCCAAATCTCAGGTCCCTCATCTGTGAAATGGGTCAGTCTCTGGGACTCTGCGCCCGACATGCTCATGGGTGGTGTCTCCCAGGCCCGCCACCTTCACGCTGCCAGCTTGGCTGCCCCCTGCATCCTGGTTCTCAGCTGTCTCCCTTTCTGCCCCCCTGAGCACCCTATCCTTTCTTTGCAGGGTCAGTCTGCCCCCTGAGCAGGTCACGAAGGTGACTGTGGGGCGGCTGCACTTCAGTGAGACCACTGCGAACAACATGCGCAAGAAAGGCAAGCCTAATCCTGATCAGAGGTGAGCAAGCTGGACCCCTTCCCTGGGAGGCCTTCCATTTTGGAGGAGGAGGGCCTGGAAGACACCCTCCCCTTCCCCCATGAGCATGTCCAGCGCAGAGTCCCAGAGACTGACCCATTTCACAGATGAGGGACCTGAGATTTGGAGCCCTCAATTGACTTAAGGGGAAGGTTACAAAACAGCTCTGTGGCTTCCTAGCTGTGGGCCCTGAGGCTTTTCTGCCCCCTAGTGGAGAGTCGGGTTCCTCCTCTGTGGGATGGAGTGAGATGACTGTCTGTGTACTGAGCATTTGTCACCGACCAGGGGTGGGGAGGCAGGACACTGGTGCCTCTGAGACCCCTCTGTTGTCCCAGGTACTTCATGTTGGTAGTGGCCCTCCAAGCCCACGCACAGAACCAGAACTACACGCTGGCTGCCCAGATCTCAGAGCGCATCATTGTTCGGGTAAGGGCCATCTCCCTCTAGGGGGTAGAATCTTCCCTAGAGCTGGGAAAGGCAGCATCCAAGAGAAATACCAGGATACTGGGGAGTCAGCTGCTGGAGTGCTGATCCTGCTGGGCACTGGCTGTGTGGCCTTGAACAAGGCTTTCTGCCTCTCTGGGCTGCAAGGGTTGCCTCACATGAAGGTGGACAAGACCAGGTAGTTTCTGGAATCTCACGAGTGAATAAAAATTGTCATGATGGGAGGGACAGTTTACATTGGGTTTGGCAGGATAAGAAACCTGGCTGAACCTGGAGAGGCGGCTGTGGAGTTTCCCCCAGTCCTAGGCCTGATCCAGCTTCACCTTCTGGTAGGCTTCCAACCCAGGCCAGTTTGAGAGCGACAGCGACGTGCTGTGGCAGCGGGCACAGGTACCCGACACTGTCTTCCACCACGGCCGTGTGGGCATCAACACAGACCGGCCAGACGAGGCGCTGGTTGTGCATGGCAACGTCAAGGTCATGGGCTCGCTCATGCACCCCTCGGACCTGCGGGCCAAGGAGCAAGTGCAGGAGGTGGGGGTGGGGCCATGCAAAAGGGCGGGGCTGCTGGGCAAAGGGGCAGGGCTGCCCGGGAAATTGTGTAGGGCTGTCCACTCTGGATTTCGATCTTGCGACCCTGGTAGCTGTTCTGCTCCTGCTCCCCACACTATAGCCTCCTGCTGCCATCCTGGGGTACGTGCCTGCTCTACACGGCCGCAGGAGGGGAGGGGCTTAGTCTCTGTCCTGGCCCCTCACAGGTAGACACCACCGAGCAGCTGAAGAGGATCTCACGCATGAGGCTGGTGCACTACAGATACAAGCCAGAGTTCGCGGCCAGCGCCGGCATGGAGGCCACCACACCAGAGACAGGTGGGTACCAGCCCAGCGTGACCTAGGGTCGGGGAACTCAGTAACCTCGGACCTCCATGACCCCACCTCTGTGTCCTGGAAATCCTACTCCCAGAAACCCTTCCTCTCCTGGAACTCCATCCCCCGGGGAATCAGGCCCTCTAGGAGTCCTGCCCCCAAGCCCCTGGAAAATCAAGCCTTCCCAGGTCCCTAGAACCTCACGCCTGGACACCAGAGGTCTGAGAATTGGGGCCCCCTAGGTGAATCCTGCCTTCAGCCTCTTGGAACCCTAATCCCTTTTTCCTGGGATCCTTTCTCCCAGGAGCCAGCCCTTGCCACAGCCTGGGAATTCTACACCTTGAGCCCTGGAATTGTGACCTGTGAACACTTGTTTATTGGAGTGCCTTGTTTTAGGGCTCTTTGGAATCCAAATCTCTAGGCCCTAGAACTTCATCCTCCCCAATCCTGTGCAATACACCCTTTCTTACACTGCCTCCACCCCACACACATATCCTGGCTTGTTCCTCATCAGGTGTCATCGCTCAGGAGGTAAAGGAAATCCTGCCTGAGGCTGTGAAGGACACAGGAGACATGGTCTTTGCCAATGGGAAAACCATAGAGAACTTCCTGGTGGTGAACAAGGTCTGCGGGTGGGGGACTGGAGAGAGCTGGGGTGAAGGGCCAGCTGGCTGGGCAGCACTCATCTCCTCCATAGCAAGGCTGGAGCAGCCCAGACTCCTCTCATGCTGTCTCCAGGGCCACCTGCCCATCCTACAGGGAATGGGGTGGGTGGGTGGGGATTGGCTACTGGAGGCTATGACTGAGGGCTAGAGGAACCTGATCTCTCTCCACTACAGGTAAAAACAAGGGCAGTTGTAGAACCATTAAGACATTCCCATATGGTTACTCCAAGGCTTACCCTCGTGGTTTGTTGTGGGGTGAACTTTGTAACCTACCTGGCATGAGGCTGGGCACCAAGGAGGCATGTGATATGTTTACACCTCAGCTGAATAGTGAGGTGCTGAAATCTGAGATGCCATTGTCATCAGGAGGGGCAGATCTGAGGGCTGGAGCCTTCAGGCTAGGGGAGCCTCTGAGGACAGAGAATTCTGATAGGGAGTGGGAAGGGCCATTCAGCCAGGGATAGCCTGGGCAAAGGTGTGTAGGTGGAATGCTATTTGGAGGCAAGCATGGGAGCTGTGGAACCCAGGCTGGCCTGGGAGGCTCAGAGGGGCTTCCCTCCAGCTGCCTGATGGCCGGCAGCCCTGGGGCTTCTGCACTGACTGTGGCCTATGGCAGGAGCGCATCTTCATGGAAAATGTGGGTGCTGTGAAGGAGCTGTGCAAGCTGACGGACAACCTGGAGACACGCATCGATGAGCTAGAGCGCTGGAGCCACAAGCTGGCCAAACTGCGGCGACTCGACAGCCTCAAGTCCACTGGCAGCTCAAGCGCCTTCAGGTGGGGGTGGGGTGGGGTGGGGTGGGGCGGGGGAGGGCAAGACCCCCTTCCCAGAGCACCCCTGACCCTGGCACTCTTGCTGTAGCCACACAGGGAGTCAGTTCAGCCGGGCTGGCAGCGTCCCTCACAAGAAGAGGCCGCCCAAAGTGGCCAGCAAGGTGAGGGTGAGCAGGGAGGGGAGGCAGGTCAAACCCAGGCTTCCCTCCTGCACAGAACCCTTCCCACCTCACATCTCTCTGGCTGCACTGACTCCGGGTACTTCCTTTCTCTCCTGACCCTGTAGCCCTTCCACCCCCATTTTCTCCTTCCTCCCTCTCCGGCCACCTGGGGACTGGGTGGCTCTTAGCAGCCCCACTCTGGCAAAGCCCCCTCCAAGGGTATGGCCATAGCCCTCTTCTGTGTCTTCCTCTTTTCCTCTTGGTCCTTAGGCATCGTCCATGGTCCCAGACCAGGCCTGCATCAGCCCACGCTTCCTGCAGGGAACCATCATTGCCCTGGTGGTGGTCATGGCCTTCAGGTGACTTGTGTCCCAGGCCCTGGGGGTGGCTGACTGGGAAAGTTAAGCTGCCCATTGGAGTCAGCTGCCCAACCCTAGTGGTCCCCTAGGCTTGGGGAAAGAGGAGAACATAGTTTGGGAGTTCCAGTAGTTGAGGTCTCAGGGAAGGTGGGCCTTGTTCCATCTCCTCCCCACTGGAGCTGGGGAGACCCATTTGCAGGCATCACCTGGGAGCCCAGCACTGGGGCTAAGGACCACAGGCCTGGCCTGGAAAAGGAGCACCGGATGTTGGCTCTAGCTCTAACAGTGACATTTTTATGTGGCTCCCAGCGTGGTGTCCATGTCTACACTGTATGTGCTGAGCCTGCGCACTGAAGAAGACCTGGTAGACACTGATGGGTATGTCCCTGGTGGCCTGGCTACTGACCAGGCCACCAGACCAGGTGGGGCTTTGGTGGGCAGTCCAAGGTCAGAAGTACCATGGAGGCTTTCTTCCAAAGGGGCTCAACCTCAGGCTGTCAGCCTGCTAGGACCTGTGAGGGTAGCTAGGAGGGTCTCTGGTGGGGGTGGGGATGGGGGCAGCCCTTCCTAGGCCTATTTACTTAGATGCTGTTGTCTGGCCTGTTCAGCACTCCTCCTGGCAGCTGGGCATCAAGAGTCAGGAGGCCAGGGTTGGAATGGGGTGGGAGGAAGGAGGGCCAGGGTGGGGCCTTGGGCTCTGTCAGCCCACTATCACCCTAGCTCCTGGGGCCACCTCTGACTGTGTCTTCTGTTCTCTCCTCTTCTGTGCCTGTCTTACCCTTTGCCTCTCTGCTGCCCCTTAGCTCTTTTGCCGTGCCCACCTCCTGTCTCCTGGCCCTGCTCCGGCCCCAGCACCCTGGGGGGAGTGAGGCCATGTGCCCATGGTACGTGCTGACAAGCGCCCTCCCTCCTTTGGCTCCTGCTACCCTTCTTCCTGCCTCCTTCCCCTTCCCTCTCCTCCACCTCTTGCCCTCCTGCTTCTCCAGGACTCCCAGGCTTCCCCCCTTGGGGTCCTCTAGCTATTCTGAGCTCAGCCCACCCTTCCCCAGCAGGTCCAGCCAGAGCTTTGGGACCACTCAGCTCCGACAGTCCCCTGTGACCACTGGGCTGCCAGGCATACAGCCCTCTTTGCTGCTGGGTATGTGTCTGGGCAGGCCTGGGCTGGGATGGGAGGTGCCTGTGTTCTGGGCCGGGGGCTCTGCTGCCCACCTCCAGCTCAACAGCCTCTGGCCTCCTCAGTTACTACCAGCCTGACCAGCTTGGCCCCAGGTCCTGCTGTCCGCACCTTGGACCTGTGTTCCAGCCACCCCTGCCCTGTTGTCTGCTGCTCCTCACCCACCTCTAGCCCTGCCACTGCTCCTAGTCCCAGCTTAAACCCTGGCCGTGGTCTCAGCCCTAGTCCCATCCCCATAACCAACCGCTCAGGTATGACTCTCTTGGGGCTAAGGCTTGGGTTTGGGGGTGGGGGAGGCTGTATTTGAGTTCAGAGAAATGCCCCAAAGACTCACTGGTGGGGAGCCTCTTGGAGCCCAGAATGAGGCTCTAGAGCAGTGGTTCTCAACCTTCCTAATGCTGTGGCCCTTTAATACCCACTTATTGAGAATGGCTGTTCTAGAGAAAGAGTTCAACGGCAGGGACCAAGAGACAAATTGGGTTTACTCAGTCCATTGGGGTCCTAGAGATAAGCTAGATAGGAAGCAGCTAGCCCCTTCTTAGCCTGTCCCTTGTTTTATCCACAGGCCCCAGTCAGATGGCCCTGCTGCCGGTCACCAACATCAAAGCCAAGTCCTGGGGCTTTTCAGCCAATGGGATTGGGCACTCAAAGCATCCCAAGAGCCTGGAGCCTGTGGCCAGCCCTCCAGTTCCCTTTCCAGGGTGGCAGGGCAAAACCAAAAACAGCCCCAGACTCAGTCTCCATGGCCGGGCTCGCCGAGGGGCCCCACAGCCTAGCCTGGGCCCTGCTTGGCACACTCAGGCCCAGGGCCAGCCAGGTATTTGGCTCACCCCAGTACCCTCCAACCCTGCCCAGCAAGGCTCACTGGCCAGGACTCATTTCAGCTCCATCACATGACTGCTTAGATGCAGAATTGTCAGTCAACAGGCATTTGCTGAACAAATGCTGAGCAAGTATTAAGTATTAGAAATCAGGCCAGGAGCTTTCTGCAGGGTGGTCTCATTTAATATTCACAATGCTCCTGCAAGAAAGGAATTGTCCCATTGTTCAGATAAAGAAACAGAGACTCAGAAGTGACTTGCCCAAGGTCACCCAGGCCAGCATCAGCAGAACTGGTATTTGGTCTCAGGTCTGCCTGGAGCCTTCACCATGCCAGGGAAGGTGCTGTATGGCCTACCATAGACTTTTGCCCAAACCTCAGACCTTTGGTTTTAACAAAGCTAGAGAAGCTTGTATTGCAGAAGTTTTTACACAGGTTTCTCCTTGATTCCCCAGGGGGTATCCTGGGAGTTGACAAGCCTTCCTGGCTTAAACCAGGCAGCTCTGCTCTAAGATTTGAGCCTCCTCATCAAATTTCATTTAGTAGGTTTTATAGAAACTTTGCAGGGATTGAAGTTCAAAGTGATGGGGAAGCTTCAGAAGGACAATCTCACCAATCACCTGGGCTGTTGTTCTGTGGCTGGCTCTGGTCAGGGCACTGGGGATGATGAAGACATGCATGTCCCTCCCCTAAATAGCTTGCAGACATGAAAGCACAGCAGTGTGATGAGGCTCTGAAGGGACAGGCAGGTAGCTTTGGGACTGCAGAGGGCACTTAATCTGGGCTAAGGTGGGCAGGTGTTCATGGTGGAAGTGACATTGGAGCTGAGTCTTTGAAGGGCATCGGGAGTTTGACCAGAAGGGAAGGGGCCTCTCATCTTGTCTGTATCTGATACCTGTTCCTGGCTGCATAGGGCATTCTGGGGTGCCTTGGGTCCCTGGGCTGTGCCTCATATGGCAGCAATGTCCCGTGGCCCCAGCTTCGCTCTTCCTGGGTGGAATGGTTAGTCAGCAGCAAGCATAGGATGGTAAATGATGATGGGCAAGAAAGCCTTGTCTCCCACCTCCTATCCGGCCAGCATATCTGCAGTGTGCTTGTTCAGTGAGGGCTGTAAGAAGCGGCTTGCTGGTAGATGTGTAACTATTGGTTCCCTGGGGCCCTGGCTAATTCCAGGCTGCCACTGTAATGTCACTGAACTCAGAGCCAAGGAGAGATTTGTGCCCAGGAGTCGAGACTTGTGTTCTTGCACGCTGCTGGCAAGGGATATGGAAGACCCATCCCTGCTTCTTGGTGTTCCAGTTCTATTGAGGAGCAGACCTCAAGTTCATAGAGATTGGCTAGTCCTGGGGCTCTTGGGGAAGGGGTGTGGTGCAACCCCAGTCACTGTGGGGGTCTGGAAAGAATAACCTGAAACTTGGCTCAGCAACAGTGGTTATGGTGCCAGCCATATGCACTGAGGCTGGCGGGTTCGAACCCGGCCCAGGCTAGCTAACCAACAATGACAACTGCAATAACAACAACAAAAAATAGCTGGGCATTGTGGCAGGCGCCTGTAGTCTGGGCTACTTGGGAGGTGGTGGCAGGAGACTCGCTTGAGCCCAGGTTGCTGTGAGCTGTGATGCCACTGCACTCTACCCAGGGTGACAGCTTGAG